TCCTGACGAATCCAGCTGATGTCATCTCGAAAATAAGCCACAGCAGTTTTTTTCTATTAATAAGATTTAATTCATTTTTAATTTCTGTTATGTTTCTAAAATGATCAATCATATTAATAACTACTGATCCCTTTTTACTTGATTCTCTGATAACATCTCGATATTGGTCCGCTGTAAAAATAGTTTCCACTTTTCTCATTTTTTTTGTCGGTTATGCCAAAATCTCTGTCAGAATCTAAATATGAATGTCCCACTTCTGGAAATTTGTGATCTATTATCTCCACGTAACCTTTTAAAATGAAGTATTGATACAAACACACCATGTTGAAATGTTTATTCTGCTCAGAACAGGAGCCAGACCATATGATTAGATGTCTTATGTCCTTTTTCTTATTTGTCAATAGTTGAACAAAAGCACTACCAATTTCGAGACTGCCTTTAGTTGCAACGTCTTCGGTCCAATTAAAAAAGTACGCTTTGTGACCTTCGAATGAAATAGTGTATTCCAAAGTTATAGAACCACATTTGTCTCAAATAAAACGCTTTTGACGTGGTAAGCCTTGGCAATGGCATGGTTTGTTGCAAATCCATCGTTTAGTAACAAATATTTTGGTTTTCTCTGGCATACTGTCTGTCACTTTTTTGCTGGTCAAAAGCATATTCAAACTTTTCTTTGTGCTCTTTAGGTTGGCCAAAAGACAAATTAAATTCTGTGGAGAAAATATGAGCGTAGAAGCTTTTTGTTACTAAAAATCGTTTATCCAAAATATTCTTTGCTTGAATATATTCTTGGTATAGTTCATGCATTTTTGATATGTTCAACAAGGGTGATAAATACATTTTGTAAACATTTTTGTTCCGAGAATAATGTGTTTGTTCTGCAGGAAAAGAGCGAATGTGACTTTTCAAAGTTTCAACTACATCGTCTGCAATTTTATTTGGCTTGAAGTTATGCCGTCCTCTTTTATCTGGCGATGGAGCCGTAGTTCCTGAGTTTAGTTGATTTTGAATAAGCTAGATATAGTGACATAAAAGCACTCTTACAAACTGTTACAATATTTTGACGAGATGTTATTGTGTAAGTAAATGTAGAAGATTTATTCTTGCTCGTGTTTTTTCTATGACGGCTAACTGGCCCAATTAAAATAGATTTAAAAAGTATTGAGTTTTTTGCATTTTGACCTAATGCATAAAATTTTTGAAAAATTGTGTCCCTTTAATTTCTATCAAACTTGTCATCACATTTTTTTGCAGTTTTCTTCTTTACATAAGGATCCGTACTCAGGAGTTTTTGCAGGCATTTCCTTTTTATTTTTTAAGGATACGTAAGCCTCACCTCTTTGTCTTGCTAAAGCTGATTTATTTTTTTGCCATGTTTTTGGACGGCGTTTTAACTTGCTCTAGACACTTTTTCTGGTAAATCAAATATCTTTTTCTTAACCTGGTTTACGAGAATATATTTTGACAAAGTATTTTGGTGATCAGGACTATGATTTGTTGGTTCTTCTTTCGATACAAAGTCCTCTGCAGTTATATGTGGTACTGTTGCAATCGAATATTCATCTTCCAGATTAATCTCGTCAGCATCGTCACTTGATTCACTTAACTCAGAACTGTTTTGATTGTAATCATCTGAACTACTTTCTGGAGAAAATTGTTCTCCCTCAGAACTATAACCTAAAAATAAAACATAACATTTTGTACATACTACTATCGGTATCTTGTATTTTCGGTGTTTTGGAATTTGTCGGAGTTATATCTTGCTCATTTTGTACTACGGCATCTAAAACAAAATAAAAAAATTTATTACTTTTATTTAGACTCCCAAAAGTACGAAAGTTTTCCTTGGACCCGTCGATATGTAGAAAAATGCCAAAGATCCTACCTTCTGGAATTGCAATTTTGTCTGGATAATCTGGCTGGTACTTCACATGTCCGAGAGTTTTCATTTTTTTCATTTTGGCTACATTCAACCGATGGTGTTTGTTGCTCAAATTGTTCTAAAACAATATAGGTTACAGAACAAGGTCACAATAGGTAGTACTATAAAGCAACACAAGGCTTTTTCTAAAAAAAAGTAACCGGCAAAAATCCTAACCTCAAATTAACAGCCACTTAGGTACACAATTTAAAAGCATAAAAAACTTGTTTTATTTTTAACATACATACCTTCATATTGTTTCAGAGCCAGATTAACCAAAAAGATGCTTCTTTTTTGACATTTTTGGTCCACAAGAACACTATTTATTATAAATTTTGTTATAACTGTTTGTCAGGGTAAACAAAAACGTAACCTTACTTTGGGGATCTAAGTCGCATGACACAAACAACAAATCAGTTTGGTCAGGCGTAAAGGATATATGTACCACAATATGTACATATACCCTTACATAAGATGGAGATTGAAATTAGAAGATTTCGATTATGAGGCTATGTATAAAAAGGCAAGAAAAATACCAATGCCAATGCTCTTTCTCGGATTGAGCTATACCATAACGAAGTCCAATAAGACCTTCTTCCTATCTTACAGTACATGGACGAATTTAACAGAGACCCTGTACTTGACGATACTAACCAAGCTCCGTTAAGCCGTACTGAAGATCGCGAACTTTCCAGAATTACCGAAAACCCTGACCATACTTTTGTATTAGCACAAGCCGATTTTGACCAAGACGACGAAAACGGAATTATCCATTCTAGTACCGAAAACCCAATACAAACTGTGAATATTACTGAAAAAGCCTTGAATAATTCAAAAATCAAATTGTTGTAATAAAGGTTCCAGATAAGCAGAGACTTGAAATCAACAAGCTTTTCGCACATCCAGTAGTACCTTCACGTTGGAATTATCTACACTACTAACGAATCATTTGAAAATCAGATAATTTCGTTTCTAGACTAAACAGTATGTATTTTATTTTCAAAACGACGATGACCAAAGATTGTATAAAAACGTGTGTGTTTATTTCTTGCATTTTCAAAAATTCTGCTTCCAAATTGCCCAAGTTCAATACCTTGTTGTACGATATAAGGAAGAACCTTAAAAAAAACAACATGACTGTATTACAAATCATCGAGGCATTATCGAGACTAATAGTACTTTAGGCAAAAATATTATTGGATCATGTTAGAAATGTTGTCTACAGCTGTTCTGTTCAGCAACAAACAAAATATGAACGACATCTACCGCTCATCAAATTTTAGTTGACACCTACACCCATAAAGCCATTCGAAACAATTTTTATAGATACTTGCAAATTTGATAATACCACTGTTTTGACAATTTGTGATAGTTATAAGAAACTTAGTGCCCGACAGTCTAAGACTAAACCGCTTTAGAGACCGAAACATATTTTAGCGACAAACAACCTAACGGTAACGACACCCCAAAATACATATAATAAACAAATCTTTAAGCCGCCACGAAAATTGACACATGATTTTTTACAGGTTATTGGAGCTCCAAACAGAACTAATACAGAAAGTTCAAATCGTCAGCCTCAACGGCACGGGTATAATGTGTCTAGAAATGTAACATTATGTCGTTTTTTTGACATATTGTTTTTTTTTTGACATAAATTATCTGACCGAGTCAGTCTACTTGCTTTTTAAAAAGATTTATTCTCGATTATCAAAATATAATTCTATTGATGTATGTATATAGTATGAGCGCTAACAACAGACTGACTAACTCTGAATACAATAAAATAAGATAAGGCCAAGCGCTGATCTAGGGAAGCTCGATCCTCTTCTTTAGTGGTAGGGGTAAATCTTCTGTACGATAACGCCTCCCCCTGTAGATGCAACTTCGAGGGTTAACGAGGAAGTTGCACATTGGAAAGATCAACTTCTTCAATAGGGGTTCTTTGTGGTTTCTTCGGCTTAGTAAAAATCTTCGGAATGATCTTGTTGTAGACAAAGCAGCAAAGTAGCAGCAGCAGTACTCCATAAAACAGGATTGTCCAAGAACTGGGAATGTGCGACACCTTATGTGAATGGATGTCAACACGATTTTCTATTAATCTTCTTTTTACTTTGTGAACTTCATCAAATTCTATTTGGTCTAGATGAAGGCTGAAGTCATTCGGCTTGGTAGCAATTGAAGTATTGGTATCGATATTTGGAAAAATAATTGGCTGACTTCCAATCGATATAGGCTCTTGATTGGCGATCAGGTCTTGATTTAGTTCCAGTGTACAACCGACTGGAATTTCGGCTAAGTAGGATCCCAAAACTTTGACTGTTTCTTGGCCTTCTTGACAGCTTAATGTAATGGTGGTTTTACTGGGTATAAGCAAGATCCATTGTCCGAAATCATGCAGTTTCTTCATTACTGACTCTGTGATTACGGCTTCTACTTCTCGGCAGGTAGTGGGAGTTTTTTGTTCCAGGAGTTGAACTTCACAGGGATTGGATTCTTTGATTCTTCTTAAATCTAGTTCCTTGCAAACGTACTGTTTTGCGACCGTTTCCGTGCATGCGTCTCCCGCAAAAGCGAAGTACAACTCATTCTTTACAAGATATTTTCCAGTACTACTTTGAACAGAGCCTTATGAAAGGTTGGAATGGGGTATTTTCCAACTTGGTGATATTGTCCTATTGATGGCTGAAATCGATTGTTTACACCATTTATCAATGGGTATATACTTTGCACGCGCTTTTTTCACTCATTTGCTGAAAAAAATACATTTGAAATTCATACCACCAAAGTGAGTTCATTTAAACTTCATGTTTGTCCCTCCGAAAAAATCAGAAAATAGGAATCGATTTTTTTAAAGGTTCTCATTAGAATGTGACGATATTTTTATGAAAGATATGCATCAGCGCTATTGCCATGCACTAGGGAATTTCATGAAAGTTCACGACTTAGCAACGCTTCTTTATTCGGATCAACAGTGTTGTCTCAATGGTGTACCTGTCTATATTATGTATGTAGGTCGACATAACTTGGCAACATTGTGGCTCAACGAGGGTCAAACCGTTGACTTTTGACAGTGACAGAGTTGCGTGCCGTGTTTCGTGCTGTTGATTTTGTGTTATCCGTTTTGTAACCTTTATTTATTGAATTCTTTTGAACATTACAACAAAATGTCGGTAAAAAAGTGTCTGATTAAAGTATTTCAAACACAAGTATTAATTCGCCTGATAAAATATTCTTATCAGTTCCGATAGATTTTGACACGAGAATTCGTTGGTACCAGGCTGCAAGTGTTGAAGGTCCCATTCCTACCACTATGTTATACTGTTGTGAAGATCATTTTGATGTAAGTTTATTAACAGAGCTAAAGTTTTTCATATTATATTAAATCTCGGTTTATTTTCAGTTGGCAGATGATGCAGAAAACTGACAATATTACAAGACAATTGGGCAGAGGTTACGACTAAAACCCGGCGTGAAACCACACAGGAACCTGTCAGTTCAGAGTTTAGGAACGTCCCAATTAAGTCCACCATCAAGAAAGAGGAAAGCTGAGATGTTAGAAACATTAGGAAAAAAGCTTCACTGCAAGAGAAAACCAAGGGCAAAATTATTTGATGAATCACAGCCAGGTATATGCAGAGATCTGCATCATGATGAATCTTGCCAGCAAAACTCGAGTTTGCTACCCCTGAAGAAAGCAACCAAAGGAGTCCAAGTTATAGTTGATACGAAAACAATGTCAACCATCACACTACCTCATACTGCAGAAAAGGCTGTTGCCACTAGTCATCCCAAACGCAAACAGTTGGTTGAAAAGTGCACAGGGATTTGTAGTGATAGCACTAATGGCTCAAGTGGTAGTTCCTCCCCGCAGCTATCGAGCACTTCATCATTAAGCAATGGAGCAAGACTGAAGACATCAAAAGAGGAACTAGAAATATCTAAATTAGAGAACAATAGTCGGTTTTTCTTAGGTTTGCCTGAAGACTGTTTCTATATTGTAAATGTATTAGTTGAAGAAGGTGGACTGGATTACATTGATGTTTTGATCACAATGAAAAAAATTAGGACAAATGATCAGTTTGTTGTAGTAATGGCTCCTTTAATGACACAGTTGATTGTATGGCCTCCAAGTTGGAAAATCAAAAAATTAGTACCAAATCAATTTAAAGCCTATTACAACAATGTACAATCAATTATTGATTGCTTTGAAGTTGAAATTGAAAAACCTTCAAATGCACTGCATCAGGCTAAAACATGGAGTGAATATAAAAAGTGTAATACTATAAAGTATCTTGTGAGTTGTACTCCTAATGGGCTGATAAACTTTATTTCTAGTGGGTTTGGAGGACGTACAACTGATGTACAAATTGTTGAGAAATCAGACTTCATTAATGTGATTCCAGAAAACTGCATAATAATGGCAGATAGAGGTTTCAAACACATAGAAACTATACTGCATAAAAAAAGCGCATCATTATTAAGACCTCCAAGCATTAGTGCGAAACAAAAACTCACCAAAGCAGAAGTTAATAAAACTAAAATAATAGCTGCTTTGAGAGTCCATATTGAACGGCTCATAAGGAGACTCCGTGAATTTGCTATGTTAAAACCACATGCCTGTATAAGGTCCAGAATAGTCCACCTCCTAGACCATGCGGTGATCATTGTGTGTGGTTTAGTAAATTTACAAGAACGGCTCATCAAGAAATAAGTATTATTGCCATGCAAGTCTTGATTTTTCTAGATTTTAATAGTACATAACTGCAAGTGCAAGATTGTTTTGTGGTATATTAATACTAACACAGTGAATTTCTTAGCTACACATTGTGCACATACATAAAGCTAAGTATGAGTAATTTTGTAAAACACCAATTTTTCCTTTTGTAGGTTAAAATACTTGTATAGGACTTATTTGAGGCTGTTCTTTACATCATATAATTTTTTGGAGTATCTACAATTTTTTATTCTCCTTTATGACACATTATCATTTAGAAACCTCAAAATAAATAAATTACTCGAATTTACCAACGCTCTATGACATAAAAATAACTAATTATTTAGTAAAGTGTATACTTTGTGTATTAAATTTTTGAAAAGCTTATTAGATCAACAATGTTATGGAATTCAGGATTATTTTAACTGGTCAGCTGGTGGTATATATCAATACTTTTGTTCATCTACAAATACAATAAAACATTTGCAGCTACCTACTAATGTAAATAGTTAAAAAACATTTCATGAATAAAATACTTTTTTAAAACATTTTAAAGTGCTTTATTCAATCAAATAAACACATAAAATAAATTGGACAAGAGTATATGCATAATATAGACTAAATACATTTGCATAATGTATCACAGTTTGCAAATATTAATCATACATTTTCTGATGATACCTGAATAGAATAAACTAGCAGCTAAACCTGGTGTTGTCTGGTTCAAAATACATTTTGCTATCTTATATATGGGCCCAAATCTTGGTACCATTAAGTGTATGTTGTAGTGTATACATTGTTAACTGATTAATTCAGTTACTAAATCAATTTATTATAAATCAAATTTGAAGATAATAAAAATTTAAAAGTAGGTATTGAAAATATTAGTATAATAATTATAAAATTTATACCAAATATATTTCAATACACACGAACAATTGACTTGTCTTTTAGTCGAATCTACAGGTAAATTGTTGACATTACAAGTTGAGTACATTACAGTAGATCTATTGAATCAGTTTTGGGAAGATAGCTTTTTCCCAAAACAAAGTTGCTTTTTGCAGCAAAAAAAAATGTCAAGTTCAACTTCCACAATTGATACATCTTTATTCACTTCAAAATTTGGTGATGCAACACAAAATAATCCCTTCTTTCTGCCCGACAATAGCATTTGGAGTTGAATTTGGGCAAAAGGTTTCTTACCTATGACTCCATCATTTAAGTATTGCTTAAGTGTCGATTCTTTTGATGGGCACTTTATTTCAATACAAAACTCAGCATTTACAGCATCAGGGCTAGCTCCAAATATAGGATATCTCTTATCTACAAATATTCCTACTTTTTCTACTTTTATTAGTTTCTTTCTTGCCACAACCTTCAATACTTTATCATCTAATGATAATCCCCTCTTCATAGCTTTTGTGGACTTGAATTTTGCTGCACCCAAAATTGACTCCACTAAACATCCATCATATGTTGTACTCTGTGCTGCTTCATAAAACTTCGATGCAGTAATACGTGCATACCTTATCTCAAACCATGTACCAGTATTGGATTGATCTTTTGTTTGATTTAAAATTTCTTTACAAGGCTGATCATTCATTTCTTGCTGACAATACTGAATAAAATTTTCAGCAGTGATGATGCTACTGTTTCTTACAAATTTATTTATTAAATGATATAGGGATACTTTATCAATAGCATTCTCTTCAGTTTTGTAGTATTCAAATAAAATACCCTTGCTTTTGTTTTCTAATCCTTTTTCTAATAGTTTTTTTAAGAAGGAATTATTGTGTGATGCAACTGGGGGAACATTCTTAAATAGCTCGTTCAATTTTGCTGCTTTCAATGAAGAACCTACTTTTGCTAAAGTCGGTTTTCGCCAGTAGCACTCAACACTTGTTACAGAAGGTTCTGTAGAACGTCGTAGTAGCCAAAACATCAGAGCTACACCATGCTTGCACCCTCCTAGAAATTAAAATATAGTATATTATAAAGACACAAGGAATTATTAAACTCAATACCTTCACTAGCTGGGCAGCTATGACACACACTATGTGTAATCTTCTCTTCAGCCTCATTAATGCAGATTGTCACCTGATATCCTTTTTCGTGGATCTTGTGTTCGGGAGTTACTTGGCACTTTACAGTACCTACATATTGATCCCTCTCGCATCAGCTGGACAAATCCGATAGCTTCATCTCCATACGATTGCTTGCCACTTCTAGGGACAAAATGGTTATTAAAATATATTTCCTCACAATCGAAAAAGTACCCACCTTTGTGTTTTCACATTTGCTTTGATAAAGTCATCATTGTGTCGATAGTATTCATCGATCATCTCGTAATCTACTTTCGGTAAATTCGAAGAATCTGCTTTCACGAAGTTTTGTTCCATATTTTAATTGTGTATTTAAAAAGCTAAATTCCACAAACTAAATCACAATACCAAATCGTCAACAACAACGCCAGAATGCGTTATAACCTTTAAATTATCTGTCAAAAAAGCAAATTGCTCCGGACGAGTCTGTAGAACAAAATGGAAATATCTCCTGTCCTTGTCACACTGTAATCGCCGAACAAATGTAGAGTCACATTCTAAGAAGGGGGCGGAGAAAATATTACTACGTCACGCAAGATATTATTACGTCACACAGTTGGCGGCAAATTTTATTTTTAAACTTTGAAGCCGAGTTTTTGTTACTTCTTGTTCAAAGAAAAATGTTAAATTACTCAATATATAATTTTTAGATGTAAAACTTCAATTTGGAACCAAAAAATTTTTTTTGGAAAATACCCCATTGAATATAAGTGATAATAATCAAATTGGAATGTATGAACAATTGGAATTTGAAAAATGTATGTTATTTTTCTATCAACTGTATAACAGCTGATTTTAATGAGCTTTTCAAAAATCGGGATATTATCCAAAGTAACTTCTAAAGGGAGTTGCTTTATGGATAGTTTTAATACCACTGAATTTAGTGCTTGAAGTAAATGTTTTGGTTTGATTACACTGGGGTGCATAATTCCCAATTTTGCAAAAGTAAGTGAGTTTTCTATATCCTGGAGTACTGAAATTATGATATGATAGATATTCATGATCTCTGAGATTGTATCTCTCAAGAAAATGCCATTTTCTATGTAGGCTTGTGTGTTAATCATAGCTGTTGAAAGCTGATTTATTTTAGCTTCCAATAGCTTTTGGTTATGAGTAATCTGACTTACAGTTTTATTGAAATTATCGATAAGTTCGACAGATAAGGTATTCTGACTATTGATATCTTCTGATAACTTGTTTTGATTGTTCTGCAAATCGCTTATTAGAGACTCGAATTTTTCACCATCTGAAGCATCCAGGTTTCCTGTGATTGCTTTGAAAATTGAACCTAAGCCGTTTATTAATCCCCTTTTTATTCTAACAGAGAATGATGGAAAAGTTTCGTACGTAGAGGGAAAAATGTCATTTAGCTTTCCGTCTACTTTTCTTTCTAAGAAATACAAAACATTGAGGTGATTTGCTGAGTGTTTATAGTGCTCAATATATTTCCTGGATAATTTCGCAACATTGTCGGTTTTTTTCTTAAGGTCATTAACTTCAGTGATTATTAAATTGACGTCGTAAAAATACAGTATTGAGTGACAATTTTTGTAATTTTGGCAGTCCCTAATTTCATGGGTATCAAATTACTTATATGTGCTGGCCCGTCGTGACGGTCTTTTTCTCCGTATTAACACTTTGTAGTCTACACGGCTTTGAGAATTTGTTGGCGTGCTTTTTTTTAACATGCTTTTTGACGTATACTGTTTCTAGGTTATCAAGTATAGTCGGACTATCGCAATCTCTGTTAACGCGTTCTAGCATTTTCTCTTTTTTTGAATGAGATCAGAATTTATTTTTGAATACAATAGTTTTGTACGCTCTTTGTGGGTGTTGGTATAGTCATTGAGGAGTAATTGGTCGATTTTGATATCGAATGGTTCATTCGACGTAATATGTCCATTGATTATATCTATAGGCTTTAATTTTGTGACAGAATGTAAGGTGTGGTTGTAGGCTAAAACGGCATACAACATTTTCATTTTTCTAGGGATTTTCTGAAAGCGTTCTGTGTTCAACAATCTTAAATGTTCGGTGATAGTTGAATGAAATCGTTCAACGACTCGATTAGAATCTGGATGATTTGGCGAAATAAAATGAAGCTTAATTTTATGAAGTGACAAAAGTTCAGTTACAATGGTATTTTTGAATTCAGTGCCATTATCTGCGATAATTCGGGTAGGAATTCCATGATGAGAAAAGAATAATATCAGATTATCAGCAATTTCAGTTCCTGAAAGCGAAGTAATCTGATATGCTTGAGTATATTTAGAAAAACTGTCTATAATTGTGAGAAATTTTGAACCTTCAAAAGTGAAAGTATCGATATGTACGATTTCAAAAGGTTTTGATGCAGTGGGGGTGAGATTCATCGCATTTTTTATCGGATGACGCTCGTATTTACATTGTTGACAAATTTCACATTCATTTATAAATGTTTGAATTGATTTTTTCAAGTTAGGCCAAAAATATTTTTCTTTTATTCTCTGATGCGTTTCCTCAGTTCCACGATGATTCGACTTGCTTTCGTGGTAATTCCGGATAATGTCCTTGATATCAGCTTTATCTGTAACGTCGACTAATTTGGTTCTACATATTTTGAATTTCAAAGTATCGGACTTAAACATCCTTTGTACTATAGAACAACAGAAAATTTTTCATATATATCTGGATTTTCAAAGTATAAGTGATAAATGACGTTAGGAGCAATATAATCTCGAATAAATTTAAATACATCATCGTCAAAATCATTTTCTGAAAATTGTACGTTAATTCGTTGCTTGCTTTCGAATAAAATAGAAATTTTTGGTGGTGCAGGTGAATGATTTACTGTACTTATAATAATCTGATTATTTCCCTGATTAACTGCGTAGTCAACTATAGGAATTGTCTGAATGGGGTGTTGGTCCGCATTTGAATGTACAGTTTCGTCTGGATTTTCAGGACGATTATTTTGATATTCTAGATCTAGATTGACTTGTTCATGTTCAATGATATCTACAATTTCGTCTGGGGGTTGAATAAAAAGACTGTCTTCGTCATTATCGACGTTTACGAACATAGATTCGGTATCCGGTTGTTTTGGGGCAGAAAAGTTAAATGTAGGTGTACTTAATTCAGATGAGCCTTTCTGAACTGGTCGGTCAAACTCAACGTTTTGGTGTTGAGTATCCGCGCATTCTTGAATCAAATCATCTAAGTACGTTCCAAAATGAACTGGTTTCTTTTGTATGGATCTCTACACGAGACAGGGCATCTGCATTTGTATTCAGTTTGCCTTTCTTATAGATGATATTCATATCATACTCGTCTAACCTGATTTTCCATCTTAGTAATTTTGAAGAAGGGTCTCGAAGGGACCATAAGTATTTTAAGGGCATATGATCAGTAATTAGATTGAATTTTCTCCCGTAAAGATAGGGTCGAAAGTATTTAGTCGCCCAGACTATTGCTAGTAATTCTTTCTCAATCGTACTATAATTTCTATAATTTCGTTCGGAATCATTAAGCGTGCGCGAAGCATAGGCGATATAAAGATCCTGTCCTATAGGGCCTTGTGAAAGTACACAACCAAGGGCTACGTTGCTCGCATCCGTGGTTAAGTTAAATGGCTTAGAAACGTCTGGATACTTGAATATCGGTTCATTCATAAGAACATTTTTACATTTTTCGAAACAGTCAATAAATTCTGCATCGTGTTCAATTTTGGCTCCCTTTTTTAGACATTTAGTTAGAGGCTTTGTGAGTTATATATATATAAGTTCGAGAAAGCTTTTAATCTGCTTAGTCGTTTTTGGAATCGGACATTTTTGGATGGCAATAATTTTATCTGGATTTGGCTTAACGCCATCTGGTGTGACTACATGTCCGAGATAAGCTACTTCTTTACGAAGGAAATCTGATTTATTGAGCTGTATTTTAAATTTTGAAGTTCTGAGTCGTTGGAAAACTGACCTTAAATTATCAATATGTTCTTGAAGGGATGTAGAAGAAATTATAATGTCGTCGAGATATACGAGACATTTCTCGTTTTGTATCCCCCTTAAAATATTATCCATGACGCGTTGGAATGTGGCGGGTGCGTTTTTTAGGCCAAAAGGCATCCGGAGAAACTCCCAATGCCCATTTTCGGTACTAAAGGCGGTTTTTTCTATGTCTGTTTCCTCCATCTCGATTTGATGGAAACCACTCGCAAAGTCAAGGGTAGTAAAATACTGGTATCTGATAAGTTTGTCTAGCAAGTCGTTGATATTGGGTAATGGATATTTATCGTCAATAGTCTGTTCACTTAAACTTCGGTAGTCAATTACAACTGTCCATTTTTGCTTCCCCGAAGCGTCTAGCTTCTTTGGAATGACCCAGATAGGTGAATTATAACCTGAGCTACTTGGACGTATTATATTGAAATCCAACATTTTTTGTATTTGGCTATTTACTTCGCCTCTGTGAACAAATGGATAGCGATACAATTTTTTGTAAATGGGCCTTTCGTTTTTGGTTTTTATTTGATGTTTGACTTTATTAGTAAATGTTGGTGGAAAACTATCTGCAAAGTTCAAGTATCTCTGATTTCTTTTCAGAATTTAGGTGATCAATCCTGATTTTCGACAAATCTAGGTAAAATTTTTCTGATGTGTCTAAATAATTGAGATCCATTTCCGGCATTTCTGATAAATTAAATGTTTCTACTGAAATCGGCTGAGAAAAATTTAATGTAACAGGCTTAGTAGTGTTATTCAAAATCGTTGTTAGCGCAAAATTATTTTTTGCTATCGTAGGCATCAGGTATCTCGCAATTATGAAATTTTTGATGAGGAATTACGATTTCACCATTGGCGATCGATGTTTTGATTTTTATTACTTGTTCGGTTCGAGGTGCGACGGTTATCAAATTTCAGTCGTTAGAAAGCTGGTGAATTTTTAGTCTAATTTTGGCGTAGGGCGTATGTAAAGTTCCTTTGCCTAAATTAATATCGGCTCTCAATAATTTTAGATTATCTAATCCAATCAATCCATCGAAAATATTGTGAAATTTAAATAGGTAAAACTTCAAATCCATACGATTAGGAAGATTGAAAATTTTCGATGCCGGGATGGATGCACTATATTTGTGAGCGGATTTTTGAAAAACAGTTGATACAACAAATGGATCATCTGTGATTAAATTTGGAAAAAATCTACGAGCAATACTGGGATCAATAAATGACTTAGTTGATCCAGAATCGATCAACATTTTAATTCCATATTCGGGAAAAAGAATGTAGGATAGTTCGCTAGTATTGCTGGCGTTAAGTGAAATTACCTCTGGTGGTCTATGAATGAGTCCTTCTGAAAACTTTGAGGTGGTTCTATG